TGATACGCACACCTAATCGCTTCTCGCTTCTCACGGTGTTCTCATTGTCGCGAATGATCAGGACCAGCGTGCCTTTCTCGTCCTCGTCGCTCTCGTCATCGTCGCTCGTCAACCTCTCTTTCTTGCTCTCGTCGATTCTTCACCTCTGAGAGATAATGGCGTTCTGTCTATCGCACTCAACTCATATGAATTCTCGGGAATCGCAATCGTTTTGTCGTCGTCGTCATAGAAGAAGTTATTATTCATAGAATCGACATTCGGTATCGTGTTGTACGTTTCGAAATCCGTGAGACCTAATTCGTAATCGTCGTCATTCAGATCTAAGACGGGAAAGTAACACGCCGTGAGGACGCTACTCTTTCTGGTAAACGAAAGGCTCAGCGACATCGCGACCGATCCCCGACAGAAATCGTAAGCACAACTGACCGCAGATGCTCTGATCATACGCGATACGCTCTGAATCGCGATTGTACATTATATTTACATCGTCGTGGAGATATCTCTCGAATTCCCTCGGGGGAAGATTGCTGAAACCGTTGAAGTAAGCCTCGTCGTTGCCCCTTTTCGCGACCCGAGTGAGTACTCGAACCCGTCGAGTCATCGAGATTCACGATGCCGTTCTCATTGCGTTGCCCTTTCGACGATAACGCGTTATGCATAAACACTTCTCTGAAGAAAGGTATTCGCAGACGACGCGCCTAGTGGCTCAGCTGCTCGTTCGTCGTAATGCCGCAGAGCGATAACTCGAGCGATCTTAACGTTTCCTTTCACTATTTTTTTTTTTTTTTTCGTTTCTCATCATACCGCTGCCACGTTTGTAAGGCGCTAGGTGCAATCCATGATCCATCCCTCGATTGTGACGTTGCAACTCCTCCAGTTGATTCCGAGCGGCTTTAACGGCGTTCATCGCCTTCGCGACGCCCACCGTGTCACCGATTAAAGAACCGAGTGCGCCTGTATATCGGAAAAATGGGCAACAAGCTTCCGCGTTTCGCCGTCGGAAGTATCCTCCTCGTCGTCTTCCTCTTCTTCTTTCTCAAACCTATGCTCAACTTTGTTTTTGTTTTCATAGTCGCGGAACATATGGCGGTTGCGGCGACCCTCTCGCCGAAGATGGAATCTCTGGCCGTTATATGTTCGCACGTCTTCTCGATCGGCAGCGTGGCGATCGGTGAATTCCTTGTTTCGCGAGTAGGCGATGTCGTGCTCGCAGCACACCGCATTCAATGGGTTGACGCTTCGATCGCCGCGCGCCAATCGCTTCGCGAGACGGGTGCCAGGTCCGCAAAATTGATATCCGGGAATATATAGTTCGAAGGGAAGCGCATTTATCGCCGTGTCGAATAATCCCGCGCCGCTGAGCATTTGTATACAGTTTTTGATGAGAGGCGCTGGTCTATGTGCATTTGTTGCCACGATTGTAATGCTCCAGACACACGCGACAACGTTGCACCTCGAGGTCCACTCTCAGATGATCGGGTAGTCTATTCCACAGTAGCTCCACGTATCTGTTGAAATCGCACGAGAACGCACGAGAATGATCTTCGGGATAAGTCGCAACTGTTCGGCGGATAAGTTGAGAATATCGCGTTTGTCCGTCAATAAGGGAAACATATTGATCACTGTGCGCAATCGAATCATTATTGAATATAAATAGAGTGATTATCGGTCGCGTCTCCTCGAAGCGAGCGCACGCGCGTAAATGCGATTCGTTCGACGGTCGCCAACTATAGGAGTGTCAAATGTCAAGGCGATCGTAAGGCTCGCCGAGTCTCGGACGACGTGGGAGGGCGCGCAGACACGGCCTTCTATTACCGAACACGATACGTTACATCATTTGCGGCCTCTTCAATTGCGGTAAAATGAATATGTTGATAAGCATGCTCGAAAGCCCGCGTGCGCTTCGAGAACGTGTACGTCTTTTCGAAATCCTTCGGCAACAACCGAAATATTGATGGTGGAGTTGCTCGAGTCGATGGATAAGATGTCGTGCCACCGAGCATGGTGTCTTCCGATATTCGTGGTCTGTGACAAGCAGGACGCGCTCAGGGAATATTTCACCATGGGTCGATACTCGAACATCGATTGTTTCTATCTCTGTCAGACGTACGCTAAAACGAAACATCTGATACATGACAACGCCAATCTCTTGGTACTGTTTAGGCAGAATAGCACTAATCTAAAGCACGTTTACAACGAGCACGTGAACACGGATATACGTACGAGGATTTTTGCGCTTTGTATCGTGCGTGTTGGAAACGCAAGTACGGTTTCATAGTCATCGATAAGGATAGCGCGTTAAGAAACGGTAGATATAGACAAGGATTTAAACGCCGTGTAGAGCGATTAGTTGTGACGAGGATAAACATCGGTGCTACGGC